CTTAGAGCCACACTCTAGATTTCTCCTTTGTTTTGATTCTTTCCTCCTCATCCATTACTTTTATCCTCTCGTGTTTAGGATACAGTAAGTGAGCAAGAAAAGTGTAATGAATCTAGTGACTTTTGAAAGACCTTGCTGTGTTGTAGAGAAGATTGCTTTCCTCACATATTGCAAGGTTCAGGGCTGAGAGCCCTGTTTAAAAATTCATATTAGCAAGAGAAAAGCATATAAATTTATTGAATCTAATAAAACTTTAAAATGACTTGGGAGGCTTCAGAAAATGAAGAACCAAAGATCAAGAGATAGGTACATATTTTTATGGACAATATTGAGGAAGTACAATTGGTGAACAAAAGGACATGATCTACAAGGCCTGTTGGTTCTGATAATACTCGGTTTTCCTGTGTGCTGTTTTTTTCCCTTTGGATTTCGAGCAGGACACCTGTCACATGAGTCCACAGGGAGAAGGGCAAAGAGAGCTTTCTGCTTTTGCTGTTTTGTCAAATGTCAAAGTGCCCTATTTGGGGGTTGCATTTCCTGAATCCCACCACTGTCAATAAATTATATATTCTCTTGAATCTTTAATGTCTCCCTCCCCTCTTGTCTTTCTCCTTTTACATAGAAACATGCCCATATCTATCACATTAAAACCCAAGAGAAACCTCAGGTCCTCATTCTCCATTCCCTTCTAGTTCCCACACTGTTTCTTCCATTTTCCCAGCAAAGGTAGATTTATTTATGATACTGTAATCCCTTCCACTCTTTGGAAATATTTTTCCCCTCTGGCTTCTGACATCTCATGGTTTAGGGATTCTCCTCTCTGGTCACTACTCAGATTCCTCTGCTTGTTCCTTAAATGTTATTTTTGAGATTTTTAACTTCTGTTTATTTTTCTTCCTCCATTTACTCTCTTTTGGAAGTTGTACTTTGATTTTTGCATGCTCTTTATATATGTTGTAACCACCAAATTCTTAAATTCTATGGAGAATTCTTTTCTAGAACTGTAAACCTTTGTATATTCAACTATTACATGTCTATTCTGTTCTCTTAAAAAAAAAAACAAACCCACCTTTAATTAAATCCCCAAACAGAAACTCATGGGTTGTGGCTGTAGCTCAGTCAGTGGCAGAGTGCTTGCTTAAGCATGTGTGGGGTCCTGGGTTCAATCCCCAACACAGCAAGCAAAACTTATCAGTGTCCCTCCAAATTGGTCTTCCCCCATACTTTCTATATTAAAATGCCCTATCATAATCTAATTGAGGAACTCCCTGAATCATTTCCCAATTTTTCTTCCCAATCATTTTCTTTTTTTAATATTTATTTTTTAGTTGTAGAGGGACACAATACATTTATTTTATTTATTTTTTATTTTTATATGGTGCTGAGGATCAAACCCAGGGCCTCACATGTGCTAGGCTAGCACTCTACCGCTGAGCCACAACTCTAGCCCCCCAATCATTTTCTTTATCTAACAGTACAAGAAATCTTGTGATGCATACTTAGGAATTTCTGTTGGATTGTTTATTTCTACTTGTCTTCTTTCTTTCTGGCTTCTCATTTTCTACTGTTCCTCCATTATTTTGAGAAAACCATCTAAATGCTTCAAAAGGTTATTTCAGATTCTTGGTCTGGACCATCTTTCTGGATGAATTTTGCCCTTCCATTCCTGCCTCAATTTCATATCATTTGCCAAGCTTGGACTTCTTGAAGTTGTTAAATAAGCTATGCTTTGTATTCTCTTTGGCTTCACTCTGACTTTGTTCAATTTTGTAATTTTAAATAGCTACTTCTCCAGAAAGCCTTGAAGGAATTAATGATATGCCATTCCAAAATATTCCCAGTTGGTATATTGATTATTTCAGACTGGTCACTTGAGGAGCTAGAACTTCAGAAAGAGCTGTTTATCCTGTGTTTCCTACCTGCAGCAAGCCCTGGAGGTTCTTTTGAGAGGGATGCCCTTTACATACCAAGAATGAAAACTAGCTCTGACCACCAGAGACTGGAAATTAGGGCTACAGTGCATATGAATAAACAAATCCTGAAGTAACTCTAATTTTTCACTAGCTTCTATGCCTTCCATATATTTCTTAGTAACATTCCTAGAATTAACTACCTTAATCTCTATATTTATTTGTTCCATCATCCCTTCACAAATTAATCATTCTTTGCCTCAAAAGTATATAAACTCCATGCTTTGGTCATTTTTTTTTTTTAGTACTTGAATCTCTTGTGAATATCTCCATGTAGTTATAAAATTAATAAAAAATTATGCTTTTCTCTTTTTAATGCAGGATCCTAGAGCAAGGCAAAGGCTGACATAAGAAAGGCGGGGGCCATATACTGAGCATTTCTTTGTTGCCTATAGCCTCTTCTACCAGCCTCCCCATACCACTATGAATAAGCATTAAGTGACTCCCTCCTGGTAGCTGAACAATGTCAAGAGTGAACAATAAATTCTTCCTGGTGGAGTGCCATGTTCCTTTCTTATTATGTGAAAATTTTGTTTCTCCCATTATTTCCCCCAAATTTTATAGTTCCATCTGGATAAATTTAATAAAATGATTATACATATGTGCTTGATGATTTACCAAGTAAGAAAAAGATTGATAAATATTTGCACATGAATATTATCTATTTTGTAATTTTCCACTTTTGAAGTAAATGTGACCTTTCCTTATTTCCTGGTCTTTATCACCTTGTAATTCAATGGTGAAAGTAGACTGCTTATATAATATTTTAGGAAAATCAGCTAACACTTTATATCTGTACAATAATTCGTGCTCCTATAAAGTGTTCTTGACAGCTTGTCAGTGGGGCAGAGAAGACTGGACATGTCCTAAAGTGCTTTGCAGTGCAAAAAAGTTCACCTCAGTGAACATTGGTAGCAACAGTGCCCACAGGTGTCAGGAGAGAGTGCATATTTTAGCTTAATTGGGCATAAATCAGAATTCAGTCATTAGATATATTCGTCTCTCAGTTTCCCAGCTAAAGGGATGTATAACACTTCTTGCTTTTTGTCAGTGTTGATAGTTTATTTGAGAAGAGATGATTCAGTTTTTCCATATTCCATGACTTACTCAGTAACTGCTTAGAGCAACAAGATAGTCTGATCTGAATTAGAAAATAGTACTAATGTTCTTTGCTCTTCCTATACTCTACTGTATTTTGTTTGTTTGTTTTCAATGTAAAACTGGGGCATAATTGTAATTCTCTAATAGCAATACTAAGAATATTGATTGGTTGTTGCTTATAATGTTGTTCAGATGTATGCACCAGCTCATAAATAGCACAAACTGTACTATCAGGATGACATTATGTGCACCGTTCATTTTAATAGCCATATAAATTTCTATTTGATTTTGTTTCTTGATATTCATTTACCTTTCTTCTATCCTATTCATAAAGCATGGTTCAATAAATGTTATCCTTTATTTTTGTTTGTGCTAAAGTGTTCCTAGTGCTAATTTATTTACTAAGTTTGTTTTACACATAAATCATGCCTCCGTATTTTACTCTCTGGCACTTCATCCATTTTTATGACTGACTTTCTAGTTTCCCTTCTTCCTCTTTAGTTTGTCAGCTCATTATTCTTTTATATGTTCTCTTAAACCTCATTTAAATCCCTTTCCCATGTTATATTTTTATTTCACATTTAGTGTTTATTGTATTACATATGCGTTTAGCTGAAAAAAAAATTGGTGACCATGATGTACTACTGGAACTCTTCTGTGTTATCTAAGGAAGAAAAGACATCTAAAGCTAAGTTTCCATGATTTAGATCGTACGTACGTAGAGTAAAGCTCATATTCAAAGTAAACATCTCATCATTTTATCAGATTACTTATGTTTCCGTATAATTGCCTGGAGAGAAAAGAACATATATTATTTATTTATTTACTTATTTATTTATTTTACTGCTGAGCTACATCTCCAGCCCTTCTGTTTTTATTGCTTTTGAGACATAGTTGCACTAAGGTGTCCAGCTAGCCTTGAACTTGTGATCCTTCCGCCTCAACTTCCTGGGTAGATGTGATTTCAGGCCACTGTGACTGTGAGGATGAATAAATGAAATAGATGAGGAAATTGAAAATTAAATTATATTGACATGAATCAGAAAAATTGTGTGGTATTTGGTACTGTTTCGAACGCCAGAAATAACTGAGATAGAAGATGTATTTAGGTTTTCCTAAAATGCCCTGAAACCATAGCTTATACTTTAAGATTTTCTTTGCATTGATCTAAAGAAAGGACTTGAACTTAAATCTTTGGATCATAATTTTAATGATCAAGACCATTGCTTTAAAATTTAAACTTTGATCCAGAATTCATATCTAAGTGTCTAGCTAAAGAAATAAAGTGCATTTAAAATTGTCCTCTAAAATATTGCAGTATGATTTGTAGTGGTTAAAAACAGATGATTTTTTTTTAAAGAATGGTAGTATAGAATGTGGAGATAATGGAATAGTAAGTAGTCATTAAAAAGGATATGTTTATAGAATATTTGTGTCAGCATATGTTTGTATTTATCATATGGTATAAATGAAATAACTAAATAAAAGAATTAGAGCAAATATCTCTGAATGGTAGGATCATTCTTCCATTTTTCAAATAGTCTGCATTTATTGTACTCTCACTATTATATTCAGAGGACTTGTATGCAAAAATACAGCATTTGTAATTTAGAATGTTCTACTTAGTAATATATTTATTACATTTTAAGAAAAATAAGCAAATGTTTGCCTTCGTATCATAGAAGACATCCATGTAATTTTTTCTCTTTTGGATTTGTGGATGTTTTAGCATCCTAAACATTTGTATCTAAAGGTTGACTGCTTTGAAATTGGAAGGTGGAATGGGAGGGTGGACATGTGGGAGCTAGGAGGGAGAAGAAAGATCTAAGGACAATTTATGAATTATCTGAAGCATGGATATAAAATGTCACCATGTGACCTTTATTTGTCAAAGATGTGATAGAATATTTTTCTTTCTGATTTCTACAGTATCAAGTCATGGGTTGATAAGATGCAGGAAGACCTTGTCACACTGGCAAAAACAGCAAGTGGAGTCAATCAGCTTGTTGATGTGAGTAAAATCCATCAAAGGAAATTGCTAATTTGAATGTCCTTCTGTTTTGTAAGAAAGTGTGTATCTATGTTATAGATAGAATGTGTTTTTTCCTGTGGATGTAGAAGTGACATTCTGAGAGAAACCCTTGCTACTGCTAGTTATTGTGAACAAGAGTGCCACCCCTAGCAGTTAATGAAACTCACCATGCTTTACAGTTTATACTACTTTACAGTTTACACTAGCTCTCAGATGAGTCCCTGATCTGTGTATGTCCCAATATTCACAGTTGGGTGCCATGTGCATGTTACCACAGTGTTTCCATTCCTCAGAATATATTTCTTAGGTAGTGATGACTTCCAAGTCTATAATGGTTCTTTTTAATATCCTCAATGGAAACTCATCTTTGTTCTTTGAGGATAGGTTTTATTTAAAAAAAAAATTTGAAAAGTATTTATAACAATGTCCAGAGATTGGAATGATCAATTGAGTTTGCTAATAAAGATTTTGGTGCAAGAAATGGAAATACAATAAAAGATGATTTTTTTCTTATGATTTCTAAATTGGTTGTGAAAGTTACTTTAAATTTTTTTTGAAAAGGACATTAATATGTGATATAAATATTTTATAGAATCTTAGATTATTTTTCATGGGTTAGAGCATTCATATATATATTCTGTAAGATTAATCAAAGTTAAATGTCATTTGTATGGGGTCTCACAACTTCAATTTCAGTGTAAGTCATGTAATAACTTTTTGTTACATGTACTCTCACCTTGTGTTCTTAGTGATACAAGGACCCTGTTTATATTTTAATATGTGGTGGGTTGATTAAGTGAAATGGTATATGTTTTGACTGTGACCTAGCTCATGGTGTCAAGTGTGGAATTTTATATTTGTAGCATTATTGGGTAATCAGAAAGTTTCCAATTTTGGAGCATTTTGGATTTCATGTTTTTAGATTAGGAACATTCACCTTGCATGTGAATATTCCTCTCTGAGAGAAATGGAAACATATTGATAAGTTAAGTATAAGACTTTAAAATTTCTTCTGAACCTCTTTATGAAACAATTATAGAATTAAAAACAGAAGAGTTTTTTTTATTTGTTCCAATTAGTTATACGTGATAACAGAATGAATTTTGATTCATTGTACACAAATGGAGCACAACTTTTCATTTCTCTGGTTGTACTTGATGTAGAGTCCCACTATATGTGCGGTCATACATGTACCTAGGGTAATGATGTTCATGTCATTCCACCATCTTTCCTACCTCCATACCTCCACCCCTTTCTTCCCTCCCTTTTGCCCAAAGTTCCTCCATTCTCCCCATGCCCGCCCACCCTTTATGGGTTAGCATCCACTTATCAGAGAGAATATTTGACCTTTGTTTTTTTTTGGGGGGGAGGGTTGGCTTACTTTGCTTAGCATGATATTCTTCAACTCCATCCATTTATTGCAAATGCCATAATTTTATTCTACAAGAGAGTTTTGAGTAAAACTAATATTAGGTTGAGCATATTTAGACTTGGGTCTCATTCCCGAGACATCTCGTGTGTGTGTGTGTGTGTGTGTGTGTGTGTGTGTGTGTATAATGTAAGCAAATGGTTCAGAAGAGATTTGAAATCTGAAGAATTTCTGGTCCCAAATCTTTTACATAAGGGTACTAAATCTGTATCTGTGAGATAAGGAATACATTTGGAAATGAAGGGTATTTCTTATGAACACCAGTGATGAGATTTAATTCTAATCCATCCTCATTGAGCACATAATGTGTTCCAGGCACTGTGCAGGCTACCAAGAGTAGACAAACAGTTTCTTTTCTCAGAGAACTGACACAGCTCATCAAAAATCCCCATTGCTTGGGGTGAAAAGATGCCTGAAAGCTATTGTAAATTGACAGTAGGAATCTGTAGTGATTCCCTGGGGAAGATATGTTACACTGAGAAAGTGTGCAGCATATAAGTGAGACTGAGCAACGGTATTTGTGGATGTTCCAGCAAATATTATTTATTAATTTTCATTTAAATACTGTTTAAATTGACTAAGGGCTTTCATTCAACCACAAGGAGAAAAAAAATGACAAATGACAGATTCTGGTTTTAAGTTACATGATACTTTTTATTGACAGATTGAGATTAAAAATAAGCTCTTGGAAACCTTTTCAGTGCCTCTCTAGCCTCAAAAACCACTTGCTTGGCTGACCTCGTTATTTTATTTCATGTTATGATATGAATCTTCTATTGCCAAATCTGTGTTTTGCAATAAAACATTAAGTAAAAAAAATTTCACCAAGTTTCCATTTGGTCTTAGGAAGTATAGATGGCTTAGAAGACTGTAAAATTGTATGAATTAATGACTTTGTCTGAATTAGGATAAAAAAGTAGATGGAAAAGATGAAAATCCCCATAATTTTTTGTTTATGAGGAACGTACCTCAATATAGTGACAGATGTATTATGTGTAAGAGAATGACATGTTAGGGAAGCTCTCTCTCTCTTCCTCTCTCTCTCTGTGTGTGTGTGTGTGTGTGTGTGTGTGTCTGCATTGGAGACTGAGCAGAATTCGCTACAGGAAAAATAATTCAGGTATTAGGGCACATGGAGAGCATCCTCTTACAGGATAAGTGATCCCATTGCTTCCTAACTTTTCCTAGACAGAAGGTCCAGGATTTGGGCAAAAGGAATACATTTTTTTAAGCCATGTAAACTTGAGGCAAAAACCGCTTGAAAAATAACATTGTTGAGAATGAACTTTGAGCTAAGTTTGGGGGCATTGTTGTGGGGTTTTGTTTATTTGTTTTTGAAGTGCTGGAGACCAAACTTGGGTTCTCATGTATGACAGACACTGACACTGAGTGACAGACATCAGAAGTGTTGAATGCATGCTGAGGACCAGAAGTTGAAGGAGGGGAGGAATTAAATAGGTCCCTGGACCGAAGTTAATATTGTAGAAATTTGGTTTCTTCACAAATCAATTAACGTAATTAATTTTACTTGCTTCACAGGTAAAGCCAGTTTTACATGAAGGCCAAGAACCAATGTAATGAGCCACATTGCTAAAATAATACATCCTTGTAGTTTTATGAAAATTGCTTAATGGGGTCATAAAACATCAGTCTAGGGAAAGTTGATTAATGTTATTGAATGCATTCAATACTCTTAACAGATGTGGATTTTACGTAGGTTTCTTGCCTATCTTCTGTTAGAAATCAAGAGTGAGGAGGTTTAAGAAGTATTGCTGACCCTAATACATTAAAGTTTTAAAATATCTCTTATTGAATTATTATTCCATTATGTAATCATTTGGAGCACATATGTCCATCAATTGGTTCTGTCAATTGTTAGCTCTATAATTTGGCCAAGGTAATGTTATGGAGTTGTTGGAATGATGATACAATCCATATAAACTACATATTGACATATAAACATAACTCTGCAAATATCATTCATTTGTTGAACTAGTTAAATGTATCATATTGTACTAGTGGGATACAGGCTGAGTTGATGTGACACAGACAAGATCAGAACACACTTTTCTCCCACATTGCAGTCTAGAGGTGAGCAGAGTATGGTTAGCTGGGAGTCCCTGAGATCCTCTCAGCTTGGGGTTTCCATTTCTAGTTTAAGGTGATCCCTTCAGTTGCTCTTATTTCCCAGCCATCAGGTAAAGGAAGACAGAGTAGGAGAGCAGATACCCAGGCAGTATAAAATGTTTACACACATTGCAGTAATGAGAGCTTAGTCACATGGTCTCATAAACCTAAACAGGTTACAAAGAAGGAAGGTCTTTACAGTAATGTGCCCAATGAAAATTCTACCACAATGGAAGGGGCAGAACAAATAGTGGGGAGATTAAGCAATCATCTTCCATTGATTCGTATTGTTATCTGAATATTACTTTTGTGTGAGTGCTGTATCTAAAATGTATTAGTGCTTTGTTAATATAGAATTGAAGCTTTATTTATAAATTTTAAACATTATAGATCAAGAAAAAATTGAGTGACTGGGGTTGTGGCTCAGTGGCAGAGCGCTTACCTAGCATGTGTAAGGCACTGGGTTTGATTCTCAGTATCACTAATAAGTAAAATAAAAGTCCACCAGTAACTAAAATAATATTTAAAAAAAGAAAAAAAATTGAAGTGTATCTCCAGATTTTGGAAAACGTTTTTAAACAATCTGAGTTATAGGATATTTTGTTATTTCTACACACACACACACACACACACACACACACAGATCCTTGTAGCTCCCATGCTAGTAAGTGGAGAGGGAGAGGCCAATATCATGTTTATAAATAAATAACATTTTAAATATTAAAGTGTTTGTAATATTCTTGAAAACAATGGTTTTAGTGGTTGGCCATCAACTAGTGTTTAATTTGTTGAGAAAATATATCCCCTTAAAAATATAACCAAATTTTGACCAATATCAAATTCATCAAATATTCTAAACTAGTGGGTACTATATAGTAATGAGAATTTACTTCAGAAAAAGATTTTCAAACAAAAAGTTGATGAGTAGAAACGATTGTCTTTTTCTGGGCAATGTACTTTTTCTTTTTTTTTTTTTAAATGTTTTTTTAGTTGTCAATGAGCCTTTATTTTATTTATTGATACGTGGTGCTGAGAATCGAACCCAGTGCCTCACACGTGCTAGGCAAGTGCTCTGCCACTGAGCCACAATCCTAGCCCTGTGCAATGTACTTCTGAATCTAACAGAACTCTGCATATACGTCAAAATCCTCAGTCACTACATTTGATTGGCCCTGCCCTGGGGACAAGTAACTGCAACAATGTAAGCATACTATAAGGACCTCAGGCCCCTTCAGGACTTCTCTCCTAGCCTTCTCTTTATTACAGAAGGAAGGCTTCCGTAATTGTCATTGCATTTGATCAATTAACTCTTACTAACTCTTTCATCTCTAAGGGGAACGTGTTTGGTATTAGGAAACAGGAATGAAGGCTTTATTTTTAAAGAGGTCAAGTTTCTCTTCATTCCAAATAGGCTTGTTTTCCC